TGGATCTCTCTCCGAGATGTCTCGTGCCGTTTTGCAGGCTGCCGAGGAAGTAGAGGCGGTAGACGATGTGGTCTTTCCTGCATGGTGACGAGCCTCGATCTCGATGCTGTGTGAGCGGCTAGCTAGTGGGATGGTTGCTGCTGATGAACTGGCAGCAAGGAAGAGAGCCAGTATGATTGTTGATGGCTGCATATTGGTGGTGTTGATATCTCTGAATTAATGGGCTCTACAGTGAAATATATGAAATTATAAAGATACCCGCCGGGGGATGTTAGGTTGAATATGTGCTGAAGGAGTGAAAGTCAAAGGCAGAGATCAACTCTAAAAGAAGTTAAAGATGAAAAACAGGTGTGCATGGAAGTGAAGTGAAGAATAAGTGTAGTGGTGGAATGGTCTGTTATATATAGATGGATGAACTTTCCAGAAAGGCGTGGAGGCTTTGGCCCTCCTCGCTAGATGCAGATGACACCAGCGCTGTGTCAAAATCTCATACACTATATGACGACGGAGCAGATCTTTATAACCGCGAATATTACTTATGACATCAATGCTACTAAGCTTTGGTTTATGTAATGCATTCCAGAACCTCGAAGGTTCAAGTCTAGGAGTCGTTAACAAGCACTCACAATGTGAGTAAGGTAGTGATTTTTAAGTACCAGGGACCATGACTCCGCCGCGAACAAATCGACTGTGTCATGGCAATTATTGACACAATGTGTTATTGCGCAGTGTGTCTGATGACTAGCCGATAAATAGCAAGCATCCAGTCCGCGATCTTCTGGATGAAACACATACGCCAAACACAACCAGTTTCGAATTTTCATCTCAAAATACAGGGCTTAAGCGAACCCGAGTACCCGTTTTCCGTCTGATACATCGGCTAAAATATTCCTTGGGAAGTTTTGGCCGGTAAATAGGTACCGTACCTAGCGAGGTAGAACTCAAGAAAATCACGAGTCCTGTGCTTGGATGTGGAAGACATTTGAAAAGCCATATTTTTGATATGAGGAGACACATCTGGGAAATTGAAATATCTGAGTCATGCAATAGAGTACATGTTGATAGCTGTGCGGTGAATTGAGGATAATAGATGTGTTTTGGCGAAATACCTTGTGGAGCTTGCGAAGGAAGTGTCGGCTCCATAAGCCTTCGGAAATGCAAGGGCACGGGGGTGATCGTTCGTACTGCAGGACAGTATGGCTAATGGAAGCTGGCACGGGCTATCGGTCATATGGAAGATATGATATCCATAGGTGAGCGGGATAACATATAGTTAATCGTCCTACCCCCCGCATTCTTGCGTCCACGGATGAGATAACTTTGTTCTTGGACCTCAGAGACAACGTTCTTCCTCGAATTCAGTGTCCAATTATGAGACTTCGATGGTACCGTCGAAGATCGTGACTGTTGCCGAGGAATGGCATCAGGTAGGTGGTGACCATGGATTGGAACGGAAGCTCGTCGGTCATCGTCGTTCCTCGAGCTCCATTTTCCTTCGCAATTCCCGAGCTTTTGCTTCGATCATGAGTCTCATTTTAGATTTACGAGGTTCGATCGGTACGTCTTTCATCCCTGACAAGTGGCTGGTGTCTGCAGCTGGCTGGTTCTGCGGTGGTACATCAATATGTTGCAGAGAGCTACCTACACTAGAAGTAGTAGGTTGTTGAGGCAAAGGTTTACCAGAAGCATATACCTGGGGTTGTTGTGCGTCGCAATTTGGTGTTAGGCTGACGGTCTTTGATACCGTTTTTGGCACGCCTTTGGCAGCCTGGCGACCTGGTCCTTCATTCTGTGGCTGTGAATCGACCGTCTCCGACACTGCTTTTGGAACGCTTTTCGCAATCTGGTAGTGATCTAAAACTTCGTTTTGTAGCTGTATGATCGTTGAGTATCCCGCTGTCGGAGCATTACTACCACGATAAGATAGCTCTTTAGCTTTCAACATACTATCGTGGTGAGTGCTGCTACGTTTGTCCCTTCCCGGAAGTTCCTCCTCTGGCCTTTCAAATGGTGCAGGCTGAACATCATGCTGAGTTCCCCTGGGCGAAATTTGATGCCCCTGCTCCGTCAACGATGCGGTCGTGTTGTTTGACCAAGACTCTACCTTTGACCAGAAATTCGCTTGAGACGCATTCTCTCCATATTGTGAAGTGAAATTCTCTCCCGTCATTATCTTGCTGCTTGGTTTGCGCCCCGAATCGGCGTCGAAAAGCTCGCTATCACCCGTACTTGAATGAATTATGTCGTTGCGCTCGGCGAATTGCCCAAGATCTTGAGCGATGGCAGCCCTCGCAAAGTTTGCTGCGGCTCGCTTCTTGCTTCTTTTCTCTGGTGGTTCAAAGTCTTCCAATGTAATGACCCCTCTGCCGGCCTGAACTGGAGGACTCCACTGCCTGTCCTCTGGCTTCCTCTTAGGTACCTTCTGACT